TATTGCTGCACACAACAGCACCTTTCAAGGCAGGTAAATTGCCGACCTAGAAAATGTACAGAGAACTTTCACAGCGCGCATAACGGAAAATAAAACACCTCAATTACTGGGAGCGCTTGAGGTTCCTAAACTGTATTCCTGGAACGCAGGAGGGAGAGATACATGATTATATACACCTGGAAAATCCTAGAGGGACTAGTACCGAACTTGCACACAAAAATCACTCACTACGAAAGCAAAAGACTTGGCAGACGATGCACCATCCCCCCAATGAAAAGCAGGGGTGTCACTAGCACGTTAAGAGACCATACAATAAGTGTCAGGGGCCCGAGACTGTTCAACTGCCTCCCAGCACACATAAGGGGGATTACCAAAAGATCCCTGGCAGTCTTCAAGCTGGCACTGGACAAGCACCTAAAGTCAGTTCCTGATCAGCCGGGCTGTGGCTCGTACGTTGGTTTGCGTGCAGCCAGCAGCAACAGCCTGGTTGATCAGGCTCTGATCCACCAGGAGGCCTGGTCACAGACCGGGCTGCGGGGGCGTTGACCCCCAGAACTCTCTCCAGGTAAAACCCTGGTGATGGACCAGACCCTGGGGGAACTGACTCCTCAAACACCTTCCAGGTATATAACTGCTATATTATACTTTGTTCCTTCTCTTTAATTCATTAAATTTTATTTGCATTTCCATCTCCATTAATACATCAAATTCTGATTTTTCTTTTATCTATTTACACTTTTCCATTCTTTGTTTCTTCACAAAAATGTTAGGTAAGAAAACTACATTTTGCTTAAAAGCTGTAAAATACATTTTAATAGCACAACAGGTACTGTATTATTAATAATAATAATAGATTTATTTACTACAAGTACATGTACAAGGTATACAGGCCTAGCTGACATCAGTGACATACTACTGTATAGGAAGGCACTTGTTAATGTGAGCATTTCGGACAAATTGTCAGTTTTGTCCCAGGATGTGACCCACACCACCATATTATTATAATCAAGGGGGAAGCGCTAAACCTGGAGGATTATACACTGCCTGGGGAGAGGATGTGGAAGGCATTCAGGCTTAATTCAGGGAACTGGAGCACAGATCCAATTCCCTAAATCAAGAGCCCCTCACCAACATCAAGGAACCTTTCCTGAGGGGCCACACCATCATAACCAAGCACTAAACCTATATGGTCATAGAGTGCCAGAGTGCTAAATGTTTAATATACCTGATCAGAGACCAGGAATATGATATGACAGAAGCCTAGTATGGGTAGTGAAGATTGCGTAAGGGTGGTATACATAAAAATATTATAATCTTAGATTATTATAATCAAATAAAGCAGTAGATTTATAATCTTAGATAATATAAAACTTAAAAATATTTGTAGAGGAAAAAATCTTTTAAATTTAGTTATCCGTTATAGGCCAATCTCCAGAAATCACATAAATTAGGCACATTTATTATGGTGTCCCATATATATTGTTTGTCGTTATACTCTTTTGAACGACGCTTACCTCCACTGATAAGTGCAAATCTTCTTAAGTTCATTTCCCAGTTGACAAGTTTAGAAAGTCTGTCATCTTCCCAAGGCTCTATATTATTTTCCCTCATACTTTCACACATAAACTCGTAGGGATTTGTTGTTTCCTCTGAAAATAATTCAAGAGTATAGCGTTCCAGTTCTCTTTCTTTATTAATCCTAAGGTCAGCTTGGCTATCCAATCTTTGCATACCGAGTTGTGAAGGCCTTTCAGATTCCAAAATATCAACTGTTTCCATGGCACTGTAATGATTTTCAGTCAAATAAGAATTGGAAGAGTTTCCTTGTTTATTAACAATGGTCACCTGACTGGACTTTGGATTTTCAACATAGTTGATACTTGTCGCTAGAGATAAATCTTGTGGCACATCATTGTAAAGCTCCGAGTTTGTGTCTTTACCACTGTCTATATTTTTTTCTTGCATGGGGACAGAGTCCGTGATCCATTTCTCTACTTTAGACTTACTAGTTTCTTTTATGCAATGTCTTTTCTCACTATCTGAATTTATTTCTGTTCTTTTATTTATACCTTGACTGTTTGAGTGCTTCTTTGGCTTTTGTTGACATGCTCTTACATTTGAATTTTCCCTCTCCTTTTGTTTCTTCAGATCATGAGAATATAGAGTTTCTGAATGGCTGTCATCACACAGACTCTTCACATGATTCTTCTTTGTTTTTTTATGCTCTGATTTTAATTCCTTTTGTCTGTAATAACTTTTCTCTTTGCCAAGTCGTTTTCTGTTAGTTGGTTTACCGTCATTGCTACTTTGATGTATAGTATGTGTGCCACTGTTATTATTTACACTGTTGCTAATGTTTCTACCTTTATTTAGTGATATTTTGTTTTTACAACTAGTTTTATGTTTAGAATTGACCATACTCTCATCACTATCATAGTTAATAATACGTCGACGTTTGCTTAATGATGCCCTGCTATTTTCATCGCTGTTGTCAATGCTTGTCTGATGTCTAGTATTAAGTGTTGTGCTCTCATCACTATTGCTATCAATAGTACGTAGACGTTTGCTTAATGATGCTCTGCTATTTTCATCACTGTTGTCAATGCTTGTCTGATGTCTAGTATTAAGTGTTGCGCTCTCATCACTATTGCTATCAATAATACTTTGACGTTTGCTTAATGATGCTCTATTTTCATCGCTGTTGTCAATGCTTGTCTGATGTCTAGTATTAAGTGTTGTGCTCTCATCACTATTGCTATCAATAGTACATCGACGTTTGCTTAATGATGCTCTATTTTCATCGCTGTTGTCAATGTTTGTCTGATGTCTAGTATTAAGTGTTGTGCTCTCATCACTATTGCTATCAATAGTACATCGACGTTTGCTTAGTGATGCTCTGCTATTTTCATCGCTGTTGTCAATGTTTGTCTGATGTCTAGTATTAAGTGTTGTGCTCTCATCACTATTGCTATCAATAGTACATCGACGTTTGCTTAATGATGCTCTATTTTCATCGCTGTTGTCAATGCTTGTCTGATGTCTAGTATTAAGTGTTGTGCTCTCATCACTATTGCTATCAATAGTACATCGACGTTTGCTTAGTGATGCTCTGCTATTTTCATCGCTGTTGTCAATGTTTGTCTGATGTCTAGTATTAAGTGTTGTGCTCTCATCACTATTGCTATCAATAGTACATCGACGTTTGCTTAGTGATGCTCTGCTATTTTCATCGCTGTTGTCAATGTTTGTCTGATGTCTAGTATTAAGTGTTGTGCTCTCATCACTATTGCTATCAATAGTACATCGACGTTTGCTTAGTGATGCTCTGCTATTTTCATCGCTGTTGTCAATGTTTGTCTGATGTCTAGTATTAAGTGTTGTGTTCTCATCACTATTGCTATCAATAGTACGTCGATGTTTGCCTAGTGATGCTCTGTGGGTTTCATCATTACTGCTGCTCATTTGCTTTGTGGGAGTCTGCACATTTAAACTCCTGTGGTTATCCACATTTTCCTCTGTTTTACTTAAATTGTATTTTACAATGCTGGAACCCCTTATTACAGCACACATTTCTATATTTGCGAGAGGTGGGAGTGTTGCAGTAATTTCTTTTTTCATACCAATGCTTTCTGAAGGATTTTTTATATTTTTATCAGATAAGACTCTTTCCCCATCAAAACAGTTTTTCTCAAGTTTATTGTGCAAATGAAAATTATCAGGTTTTGAAATTAGATTGTCTTGTAGCTCTGAAAATCCTGTAGCCTCTTGGGAAGTGTTAGCTGTTGGTGCTGACACAGTTTGCCCACCCACAGCACGGACTACTGATGTATGAATTTCTTGGGCAGTTTTGGCTGGTGGCCCATTTTTTTCGGTGTCAAGAGCTGAAGAAACCATCACTTTTGGAGTAATATTTATGTGGGTACTTGAACCTGAACCAACTGAAGATCTCAATAACTTCAGTATAGCTCCAGTAGATTCACTACTCTCAGGACCATTATCACTATCAGAAGAATCATCACTGCCATTATCATCAGGGGTAACAGCGACATCACTGCAGGTACTAACATGTGTAATATCAACATTTTTGGTACCTGCCTTACACTCCACAGAAATAAATTTCTTAACATCAGTAACATTACCATTAGTAACAGCCCCTTTGCGTTTGTTTACAATATTTTTACCATCACCAATGGTCTCATGTTGGTACAAAACACCTGTAGTACCATGGGGAGTAATCTCACTATAGCCAGTATCCTCCCATTTGGGTTTAGAGGGAGGGTGCTTGTACCAGCAGTATTCTGGGGGTCTTGAACACCTACAACGAAGGGCATGCATGCAATAGATGCCATCATCCTTTGGGTATCTATGGAGATAATAACACCTGGTTCTTAAGCATCTGCCCTTCATGAACCACACACATCTGTCTTTCTTTCTTGCATCTCTTGTGGGGAAAAAGTTTTTTTTTGGTGACACATAGTTTTCTCTCTCTGATTTATGAAAACGTGGGTCTTTCTTTCTCTCTGATACTTGATCATAGTTTTTTCTATAAGATAATTTACCAGGATATTTCATTCTTTCTAAATTTGAGACACTTGGAGAATTATGTTTTACAGCAAATGAAGAGTTTTGTACATTTCTCACTCTCTTCGTAGTGTCAAAATCTTCTGAGGAACTGCTGTCTATATATTCAAGATCTATGTTTTGTTGAACCTGGGGAGAAATCTCTCTCTCTTCTTGGGCATTTGTTTCTATTTTGTTTTCCTCGTCAGTAATCTTTCCCTCATGCGAAATCTTTCGAGTTGGGTCACTCTCTATTTGTCCTAGACTTACAGACAACTGAGGCTTGGAAAGAATATTTGCTTCACCTTCAAATACTTCTTTTGAAGGTTTTGTCATTGCTAAAGCCATTTCTGACAATTCTCCATCTTTCTCCTGAGAAGAAACATTATTAGCAAATAATCCAGTCTTTGTTGCTTTAAGTGCTGCTAGCTGTGGTGTTTCAGTTGGATTTATTTTAAATCTCCCATCAGTCTCAAGATCAATTATTTTCACTTCTTTACATACATTTTCTGACTTATTTTTCTCGTTGATCTTGTTTTTGTGTTCCAAGCTTTGGTCTATTGGTTTATCCCCAAAGAACGGGGGGTAAGTAATCTCGCAATCCAACACGGGGTTGTTTCCAGGGCTATTTTCTTGACATGTTGCAACCTCAGGGTTGATGAATTTCTTGCTGGGATCTATCCAGGCATCTTTGAGGATTACTCCAGTATTGAATTTTAAAAATTTGCTAAGTCCTGTTGACAAGTTTATAACTTCCTTTTGAATTTCCATTTTATGGTATCTATGATCTGTTAGGACATTTTTTTTCTGGATGGACTCATGCATATGCTGTTCCTGAATACTTTCACCCCATTTTCTGTTTATATGTGGAACACCAAGATGGAGATCCATCTGGGATTGACTTTGTTTTTCCAAATCCTGATATCTCGTCTCTCTGTCATTATAAGGAGGATCAATCTGTGGTGTAGCAGACACACATTGGTCAGCTGAACCTCGTTTCTTCAGACCCTGATATTTCCCCATTATACCATGTGAAGTGGTAGGGATGCAGGGATCTGGCTCTTTCATAATTTTATATATATTGCTACCAAATAAGCTAACATTGAAGAGGGGCTCTCTTTGTCTACTCACATCAGGATATATCATGCTGTCGCAAGTAGTCGATGTGCAGGGATCTCTTGGACACTTTATATTAATATTTGATTCCCCACTGCTATTATTAATTGAAACACTAAAGCAGAGATCTCTTGAATTTTGTCTACTCATATCAGGATCTCTCTCACAATTGTCATATGATGTAGTGGATATGTGGGAATCTCTTAGACCTTGTATATTCCTATCTGGATCTCTCACTCTTTCATCATATAATGATGTGGCAGCAATATGGGGATCTTTTGGACATTGCATTTCCACATTTGGTAATGTTATCTTTGTTCCTTGTGATGAGGTACCAGTGCTGTGGAAATCTCTCCTGATATCTGTAAAAAACTGTAGTGGTTCCTTTTCCCGGTAAAGAGAATTTATCCCCATGGACAGTGGCTTTTGGGTCAATGCACCTGTTTGAATGTTTAGGAGAGACTGTTGTTGCTGAAGATCATGAAGTGAATGATGGGCTGGAATTGTGGAATTGCTGAGTGCTTGGTATTCTTGATGAGGCCCTATCCCCATCCTCTCATTGTTGAATGCTCTGTCAGCACTTTGCTCTGGGATCTTCCATGGGGAAGGCCACCGATCTGGTTTGTCATTACAATTTTGAGAGTCATGATCATCTGTGAATATTACTGTATCCTCATCGCTGTCTTCATTTGGCAAATCCTGCTGGGAAATCAAAGAAATATAATTTTATTATTCTGTTTAATAATGTACAAGACCTAATATAGTAACACACCACTGCGGCCAACACATCTCACCTACACAAATTGCTACCAACACATACAGCCACAACAAATACACACCACTTCAACACACATCACTCCAACACATACCACTCAAGCTGCCACACATAACCCCAGCCTATACTAGTCATTCCCATGCACACATACTCCAAACCACATACACTCAATTCAACCAACTTCTGCAACCCAAACCACACACTTCAGTCTATACAAGCTTACATATATCTCAATCCCCACATACCTATAACATAATATCAAATTTAAACTGGATGGATGGATAAGCAAGTGGAAGGACTCAGATGGCCAAAAGCTCTAATGGTGGGTCATCATCTAAGATGTACAAAGACTTAATGGTAATTAATAGAGCATGTAAGGGCAGAAGATCCGGATCAAGAGGACAGGTGGAAAGCAAAAGTTTAAGAACCTAGAAGAGGCAGTGGAGGCAAACTCAATGCACAACTTCTAGAGTAAATATAAGACACAAGATGGATATCAACGACACCACAAAGACATGGGACCAGGAACTGATTCTCGGCCCAACAAACGCAACTTAGCGAGTACAACTCAGTACATATACATGCACACACACACACATTTCTAACTCACATGCTATTCCAACACAATCAACATGCCAATCCATGCATTCCACTACATATCATAGGGAAAAAATCACAGCAAACTTATCTACTGCTAGGGGAAACTAATGAAGAAAGCATTACATCAACTTAGAGCATGTTATTACATGGTTAATGAAATGAATAGGGAAACATAATAGGATTAAAGGGAAAAATGCCATAGAGGCCTGAGCAAAGAAGCTAGAGGACAACTGAGGGGAAATCCAGTAAGTTTAAGATGCAGAAAAAAATTTGACAATAAAAGCAAATGGGAAGAAAAAAAAAACACAAATAACACCCACATAGGAGAGGAGCTTATGACGACGTTTCGGTCCGACTTGGACCATTTACAAAGTCACACTAACAAAAAGGAGAGGAGTATATATAGACCAGCAGACAGGGATGGGACAAGAGAGGTAGTAGGAAAGGAAGAAGAAAGGTAGTGGCAGAGGTAGTAGTAGTAGTAGTAGAAGAGTCAAATACTAAGAAAGAGGAGCACTGCAAGGGAGCTAGAGACCCACAAAGGGTAAGAACAAGAACACAGAGGGGGGAGGGAATAATGGACCAAACACCCAAGGCAGAAGATAGAAAATCCAAAGGAGAAAGAGAAAAGGGAAAGAGGGAGAAGGGGAAAAAAGAATCAGGTTAAGTCACGGGTGTTCTGAAGTTTGGAGCATTTTACAATATAGTGGGAGAGGACGGCATCTACAGAGACTGAGCCTGGACTAAGATTCATACAAGGAAAATTGTGTATTAGGGAGGATTCAACCAGACGGCAACTGTGAAAGTTAAAAGTAGGGAAGACAGTTTTACCTTAAGACCAGTCAGTAGGATGACTGTGATCTCTGACGTGACAGAAAAGAGCATTGTTAGTGTTGGCAAGCCTAACACTACTTTTGTGCTCCCTGAATCTGTCAGAAAGAGATTGGCCAGCTTCTCCAAAATACTGAAAAGAACAGGAGGAACAAGAAATAGAGTAGACATCAGAAGCATCTACAGAGAGGTATGAACTAGATTGGTGTTAAGTGTGTTAGTCTGGCAAAAAGTAAGCTTGATGTCTAAGGAATGGAGAGAGTTTTTGAGATTATAAAGACCGGAAATATACAGAAGGCAGAGGATAGGAAATTTCCCAGGAGTAGAGAGTTTGGGGGAGAAAAAAGTAAATTTAGCATGTGAGAAGGCAGAGTGTAGGCTTAGTGAACTGCATACCAACAAATTAGGTACCATACTGGAGATTAGTCCAGAAATCAGAGCAACAGGCAGGGGTAAAAGGTGGATTTCTCCAGTGGGTGAAGGAGTTCTTAAAAGACAGAAGGCAGAGATTAACAGGGATGAGACATCAGAATGGGAGAGTAATGAGTGGGGTACCACAAAAGTAAGTTAGGGCCACTACTGTTCCTAATACAGTGGTACCTCGGGATACAATTTTTTTTCGTTCCAGAAGGCTGTTCGAGTGCTGATACCAAACGAATTTGTTCCCATAAGAAATGATATAAATTAGTCAGTTTCAGACCTCCAAAAATACACTTACAAAAGCACTTACATAAATACACTTACATAACTGCTCGAGTTTTGAGCTGTTCATAACCCAAGGTACCATTGTATATGTGAATGGTCTATTAGAAAAGATTGAATTCTGTGTCACTGCTGATGTAAATTTGCAATTTGGAGAAGGCAAAGGATGACTGGATGCAAAGTGCAACATAGGCAGACACTGCAAATATCAAAAGTTTAAAGAATCTAGATAACTATAACAAAAACCAGACTGCCAGAAATGTATATAAGCTGTATGTCACCAGCATACTAAAGATTAGCAAAGCCCAAATTCAGGAATATATTAATGTTGGTGGAATTACCGACAATATGTAAAATAAAAGGACACAAATGCAACTAGTGTGTCATTTTATTGTGGCAATGTTTTGCTCCCCAGGAGCTTTATCAAACCGTTAAAACAATACATGGACACAGAGGGTATATATAGGCTAGAGTGAAGTGTACTACTACTGGTAGTAGTACAACTACAACTTATTTCACTACTACTACGACTAGTATTGCACCTCACTCTAAGCCTATATATACCCTCTGTGTCCATGTATTGTTTGTAATGGCTTGATAAAGCTCTTGGAGAGCGAAACGCTGCTATACATGTTAAGCCAGGCAGTATATGACCCAAGAATAATGTCCAGTCCAGCAATAACAAAAAAAGGCACAATACTGTGACTGAAAGATACACAAATAACCTGCCCATAGAAGAGAGGAGCTTACGATGATGTTTCGGTCCAACTTGGACCATTTACAGTCACTTTGTAAATGGTCCAAGTCGGACCGAAACGTTGTCGTAAGCTCCTCTCTCCTATGTGCCGGTTGTGTATCCAGGCCAGCACTTGCAGAAAATAGTACAAAAGCTGAGGGAATGGATTCTGAGAAGAGGATCGAAAAACTGAACCTGACAACCTTGGAGAACTAAAGGGAGATCATTACATAAATAAAATCTGAAGACAAATTGATATGACAGGATGAGTCTAAAGAGGAACAGGATCAAAGAGACAATGGTGGAAATTGAAGACAAATGAGACATAGGAACATGAGGAAGTATTTTTTAGTCTGCATGTGGTTGAAAAATGAGTGCAAAGAGCCATCTCAACTCCCTAAAGCACAAGACCGCAAATACATGAAAATAAAATAGGTCGTCTGTTGACAATAGTCTCTGACAGATGACAGCTTTGCAGTTGTAGCTACAGTGAAGATGGTACACCAGTGTAACTGGTGCTGTAACTACAAACCTTGAAGATGGTACATTAACCTAACTGCTTTAACTACACTGTAGATGGTATACCAATGTAACTATGCTGTTGTAACTACACTAAAGATGGTACACCAATGTAACTATGTTGGTGTAACTACAATGAAGGTGGTACACCAATGTAACTATGTTGGTGTAAGTACAATGAAGATGGTACCTCACTAATGTAACTATGTTGGTGTAACTACACTAAAGATGGTACACCAATGTAACTATGTTGGTGTAACTACAATGAAGATGGTACCTCACCAATGTAACTCTGCTGCTGTACCTATAAACACTAAAGATGGGGCACTGCTCTGCTTGGTGAGGCACCTACCCTCCAGGGCACCTTAAATTCTTCGTGGCCCACGTGGATTCAACAAGGCGCTGGAAACATTTCTTACAGATCTTGGTTTAAGTTGACATGATAGTATCACACAGCTGAGCAAATTTGTTACCTGCACAATCATGTAGCAAACCCCTTCCCAATCCCAAAGTAACAATCACACAATATTTGAATTTGTTACTATACCTTAATACTCTCCAAACAGCTACACTGATGACTGGACACCACCACATTACTTCCTTAAAATGTTCCCTGTCATGTATGTGACAAGGAACATGATGAGGAAGATTTTTTTTCTATATATATATATATATATATTTTTTTTTTTTGCTGATTTCCTGTCCACTTATGCCTTTGTGCATTCTGGAAATATTGCACTTTTTCTTGTGGATGGGGGAACACTTTTTTTTTGTCACATTTCTTTTTTGCAACTTGCACATAATCACAACCTGATTGATCACATCCAGCTGGAATTGACTTAGGTTTTCGCTAATCATACCCTCTACTGAGCGTTTTCACAGGCCGTATCCCACCGAGGCGGGGTTACCCAAAAGGAAAAACGAAAGTTTCTCTTTTTGCATTTAGTAATATATACAGGAGAAGGGGTTACTAGCCCCTTGCTCCCGGCATTTTAGTCGCCTCTTACGACACGCATGGCTTACGGAGGAAGAATTCTGTTCCACTTCCCCATGGAGATAAGAGGAAATAAAGAACAAGAAATAGTAAGAAAATAGAAAAAAACCCAGAGAGGTGTGTATATGCTTGTACATGTATGTGTAGTGTAAGTAGACGTAATGGAGAGTTAGTGAGAAGATGGAGAGAATATTTTAAGGAATTGTTAAATGTTGATGAAGATAGGGAAGCTGTGATTTCGTGTATAGGGCAAGGAGGAATAACATTTTGTAGGAGTGAGGAAGAGCCAGTTGTGAGTGTGGGGGAAGTTTGTGAGGCAGTGAGTAGAATGAAAGGGGGTAGGGCAGCTGGGATTGATGGGATAAAGATAGAAATTTTAAAAGCAGGCGGGGATATAGTTTTGGAGTGGTTGGTGCTATTTAATAAATGTATGGAAGATGTGAAAACAGTGAAGAGTTTTCATGAGGATAGTGAGGCTCAAGTTAGGGTATGTAGGAGAGGGGGAGATTATTTCCCAGTAAAAGTAGGCCTTAGACAAGGATGTG